CTCTATGGCCAGAGCGAATAGAATGGGCGATAAGGGGCAGCCCTGCATAACTCCCCTATGAGTGTTGAAGTAATCAGACCTAAGTCCATTAGTCAGGACTGCTGCCTGTGGATTATTGTAGATAACTTTGACCCATTTTATAAAATTCTCCCCCAAGCCGAATTTGCCTAGAGTATACAACAAATAAGACCACTCAATTCTGTCAAATGCTTTCTCCGCATCGAGAGAAGGCCGTCAATAGATTTTTGCTTGAAAGCTACAATAGCGTTCAGTAAGCGTCTAACATTGGTGGCTGAGTTTCGACCCTTTATAAAACCTGTCTGGTCCTCCCTTATCAGCACAGGTAAAAAATTTTCTAAGCGGGAGGCCAGAATTTTAGAAAGCAGTTTCCTATCCACATTCAAGAGGGCTATAGGTCTATAGGATCCGCACAAATCAGGACACTTCCCTTTCTTTAGAATTAGGGAAATGTTGGCTTCCTTCAGTGTCTGCGGGAATTCACCCGTAATGAAGGAGTGGTTGAACATATCAAGAAGCGGTTCCACAATAATATCTCGAAACTGTTTATAAAATTCACAACAGAAGCCATCAGGCCCTGGTGACTTTCCACTTCGTAGTGATTTAATAGCCTTAATCACTTCGGTCTTGGTTATAGGGCTGTTAAGGGCAGTCTTCTGTTCCTCTGACAAATTTGGTAAGTCGAATTGGGTAAAGAAATTATGCATCAGCTGCTCCCCCTCCGGGACTTGTTGAGAAGAGTACAAGGCTTTGTAGAACTTCTTAACACAGTCGTATATCAGTTTGTTTTCATATATCTTGTGGCCACCTTCATCAGATATCGCTGCAATGGTATTAGATTCTGCGCGCTTCTTAACATAGTACGCCAGACATTTACCGGCCTTATCTCCATGCTCGTAGAACCGCTGTCTGGTGTATTTAAGTTTCTTCTCTGCATCTCTGGTAAGAAGGCAATTCAGCGCTGACCTGAGTGCGGTTATTTCTTGCCATTATGGTGGTGATGGGGAGGCAATATATGTTTTCTCCTTATCCATCAATTCGCTCTCTAAAGATTTTTGTTCCTCCATCCGTTGTCGCTTCTTTGTGGCAGAATACGAAATAATTAGGCCCCTCGCATAAGCTTTGCATGTTTCCCACAAAACAGAGGCAGTACTAGCTGAGGGGGTGTTGATATCCAAAAACGCTTTAAATTCGGCAGAGAAGTGAGAGGTAAATTCCTCGTCCTTAAGAATAATGGTATTAAGCCTCCAGTGACGGGACCTATGAAGCGCAGCTTTAAGATCGAGATCCATGATTACTCTAGCGTGATCTGAGATGATTATACTTGTTATGTCGCACGATACTACTGAACCCAAGTCAGTTTCCGGGAGAAAAAAGTAATCAATTCTAGTTTGGGACCTATGCGGAGCCGAAAAAAATGTGTATTGCTTATCGGAGGGGTGGGTATATCTCCAAGCATCAACAAGTCCAAACTCGTCGCATAGAGCGTGAAGCGCTTTGGCCTGGGGAGAGGGAGTTGCAATGCTATGTGGAAATCTGTCCATAAGCGGATTTAACATTAAGTTGAAATCACCACCAATAATAACGGTAGAGTTAGGAAGAAATGGGGCTAATTCCAGAAACATTTTGGTAAGAAAGGTAGTCGGGTGGGCAGGTGGAAAATAAACATTCAGTAATAAAATATTTTGGCCTTGCAAAATCCCTTTGACTATCACGTAGCGGCCCTTCAGATCTTTAACGCAATCAGTTACTACAAATGGTACATTTTTCCTAATCAACACTGCCACTCCCCTACTTCTTGTAGTGAAGGATGAAAAAAACACTTGTCCATATAATCCTTGTTGCAACTTCAAGTGCTCATTATTATCAAGATGTGTCTCTTGTAACATAGCAACATCTACACCGTCCTTTCTTAGACAAGTAAATATCTTCCTCCTCTTAATAGGGCTGTGAACCCCTCGTACATTCCAGGTGCATATTCGCAGCCTACTCATTATTAGACTTATTCATGTATCATACAAAGCATATTGAGCCAAAGGGTTCACCACACCCTGGTTGAAAATAAAACAGCAAAAAAGAAAAAAGAAAAAAAAAAGGCAAGAAAGAGCTGTGTGACGGAACATTCAAAGAACAGTGATTTGGCAACAGCCCTACTAAACATGTAGGGAAAAACCAATCTCCTCCTGCCCGTCGGGAAAGCTGAAGGGCATTGCACGCGCGTAACTCACGCCTACCCATAGACGAAAACACAGTCCGTCCGGTGCCCGATGGGTTGGAAGATTTCACCTGGTCGCTTATAAGCAGCGAGGACGAAAAAAGAGAGTCACATACGCCTAGATTCGGCAAGTACTCACACCGGTTCATAAGGCATAGTGTGACGAAAAGGAGTACTCCGGTGGTTACGGGGATTCAGGGCAGCGAGTCCGCGTAGGACGCAGCTGCCTCCGGTGTGTTAAATCTCTTCTCCTTGCCGTTGGCAAACAGCCTCAGTGTGGCGGGGTAGAGAAGCGCATAATCCACATTCTTCTTCCTCAGGCAGCTTTTTACCTCGTCGAAAGCCTTGCGTTTCTTGGCTACCGCCGCTGAATAATCATTAAAGAAGGAGACTTTGATCCGACCTGTTGGTTGGTTCGGCTGCGTAGCCAGGCGCCGAGCTGTGGCCATCACACGTTGTTTATCAGCAAAGTTGTGAAGCTTCATAATGATGGGTCTGGCGCGCTGGCTGGGGCCCGGCCTCGGTGCTAGAGAGCGGTGAGCGCGGTCTAGTTTGATCTTCCCATTTTTAGTTGTGAGCTCGAGATAGGAGGGGAGCCATGACTCCACGAAGGCGACAACATCATTTCCCTCCGTGCCCTCAGGAAGCCCGACCAGGCGAAGGTTACATCTGCGGCTGCGGTTCTCTAAATCATCCATGTGGTCTGCCATGTCAGTTACTTGTTTTTCGAGTCGAGCCACTTTCGCCTGCAATACACCTGCCGTGTCTTCCACGCCTGAAATCCGTATCTCCGCGTCTCCCACCCGTGTCGCCAGAGCCTGGATCCGAGACGTCTGTTCACAGATTGCGGCCAGCACAGTATCAACTTTAACATCCAACAGAGTTGTAATGCTGTCAGTTATCTTACTCAGAGCCGCAAGGATGTTCGGGTCGATATCACTCCCAGTTTCCTCAGCGTCAGCGGAGATTTCTGTGTCACTGGCGTTAGCTTCTTCAGGCTCAGCCGCCATAGGACCCACAATGTCGCTAGCTTGCACAACCGGAGCTGTCTTTTTCTTAGACCTGACGTTAGGCATTTTAGAAAAATAGTCGTCCAGACTCATTATAGAGTTACTCCCACGCACATTTGTAACGTTTCACCAGGTGAACAC